CAAAAGTCAGTTTTCTCAAGTAAAATTTATTGAAATCTGGGGTTCATATTTATTCGAATTATCTCTTGAATTGCAACTCCAGTTCTTTCGTGGAGCTTCCAAGAAACGTTTAATAAGGAAAGGTCTTTGATAAAAACGATTTTATTCTCGTAATGCTTTTCTGCTCGCTGACTGAAAGTCTGTAGAGAACAACAACTTTTTACTTCTTTTATGTCTTCAAGCGATAATCCTGTCCTCGTAAAAGTCATTAATTTAATGGAAGAAGATAAGATTTCGAATCGAAACCTAATTGCTTACTTCAGTATTTGTATTTCTTTAAATAAAAGCATGTAGCCTTCTGTCCCATAACACATGCATTTTACTTTTTTATTCTGTTACGAAGCTTTTATTTATTTTCTTAATAAATGAATGTACGATTGGATGGAAGATGTTATTATTAGATATTATGGGATCCAAGAGAATTAATAGAAAAGTTGGCTAAACGTTTACAACGGAATAAAGTAAAAAGAAATATATATATGTGATGTACCAACTTTTGTCAGGAATAAATAGATTGTTGAAGAATCATAAATGTAGTCGTAGCTTAAATTATCAGACGATAAGTTTAAAAAAACAGGATCCATTTATTATTGGTCAGGAGAAATAGCATTACAAAATCAGATATCTGGAGTAAATAAAAAAGAACTACTAATAACATTTTGTATGAAGGTTTACTGCATCGTGACATTAAGAAAAAGCCCCGATATTCTTTTGCGAGTCCTTTTATAGCCTCTGGAAGGCGGAGCTTCCAAGAAATGACGTCAACCTCGTCAACCAATCCAGTTCTCTTTAAATATTTCCAGGACATTATGTAACTGTACGTGTAGAAAAGGCGGGAAAAAACTTGACTACGGGGCTGTGCATTTAATTCCACGTACTTTCAAATATCAGAACGTCGCCATTAAAAATGAAAAGAACATACAGTTAGAATTTTAAGTGTATTCTTGACTATGGAATTTTATTATTACATATATATACAGGGTGACTGCTAATTCATGGTACAAACATTGAGGGCTGGTACAGGACACTGTAACAATCACATTTTGTAAATTAATTTTAAATTTTAAATTAATTTTGTAAATAAATTTTTGTAAATTAAGTCACATTTTGTAAATTAATTTCCACTTGCAAACGAGGTTATGAAAATTAAACACTTTCCTTATCATTTGTTCTTTCCTGTGTTTGTGCTTCGACGCTAACTTTAAACCATACATTCCTATACGAAATGTGATTGTTACAGTGTCCTGTACCAGCCGTCAACCATGAATTAGCAGTCACCCTGTATATTTGTGTATGTGATGAAGTTAAAGAGGTATGCAAGCCTTTTTGGTTCTTATATTTATCTATTTTTCTTTATTTTAAATGTAGAATGGTTTAAGCGGAATTTTTTAAATTGAAATTACAACATTTCATGTTTTATACTATCGTAAATAAAAACTAATTTGCTATTGTTCTACAGGGTGAACCAAAAGTCGCGCACATAAAATTTTCAAAAATTGCGGAAATTCCAAAATGAATATTAATGGCAAATTGTTTCAATGGCTAACAATCCTGTACTGTTACGCGTAATGTATTACTTGAAATTTCAGATGCAGTTTATGCTCTTAGTTTTAAAATATAAAAAAAAAATCGTTTGTTTTGTAAAGGAAAAAATTAAATTTCCCCGAGCTGAATACATTTTTACGATTGAGCATTACTTCACAAAACGTTCATACCGAAAAGTTGTTAAAGCATCTCAAGAGAATTTTTCTAATATTAAGGAACTTAAACACTGATTAATTTTTATGTAACATCTTTGTTTTATATTAATTTTATGACTGACAAAATACTTGTGTTTCAGTACTTAATGTGCACGATTACTGAACCATGTTTTCCTATAAAACAAATAATTTGGATATGTTACATCACACACGAATAAGTTAAAAACCTATTTTCTGTTCTATTAAGAAATTATTATTATGTGTATTAAGAAAAATCAACTGGTTCTTTACTTTGTTTAAAATTATATTACGCCGAACGAAATAAGGACAATGATAAATGGGTTCAGAATTAAAAATCCTTCTTCAAAGTTCCAGTGACTTAACCATTTCTGCAGGGGTAAAATATGTAGTAAACAATTTACGAACCTAAAAAAATACAATGTCCAATATTAAAAGATCTGTGAGCGTGCTGGTTTGATTGTACCCCATAAAGAAATCAAGAATAAATTTGAATAAAATCGGCTTTAGAAATCTTTCGATGAAATATCCAACTATTTAACAGTTTCTTCTGTAGAGAATTATATATTATAAAATTTGTCAACATCGAAAAATATCTAACAGACCCTATCTGTACTATTAAAATCTGTGTGCGTTTATCTGGCTGTTTTATTGTTTGCTTCTGGCATTTTATCCTCCTGAACGGAGGGGAGTTGAGTTTCGAAAAAAGTACCTCCGGATTTCAAAAATTCGTGGGAAGCCATTTTGACCATTGTCATTGTTGTAGGACTTTAATTAGCGGATATATTAATTAAAAACTCTGAAAATGCTAATTTTCGCACTCATGTTTCCGAGTGGCAACAGTCTAGAGCAGAGTTTCTTAATCTGTGGGTCGTGGGGGTCCCATGGGGGTCGTGGAACCTACAATAGGGAGTCACTAAAAATTTCAGCAGTTTTGATATTTTTTTATCTTATTATACTATAATTATATATTTATATTATATAACTTATTATATTATAATAATTTTAGAATCGCCAAATGATTTTACACAATGTATCTGAAAATAGATAAAGGTAAGACAGTACAAAGGAAACGTTTCCACTCATTCCTTTTATAATACAAACGTTCATTTTACTTGTCTTGCTCGTCTGTTACTTATTAAAAATTTTCACATTGTTCTATGTTTTAAAATTAGAAATGAAAGTTAATGACCTGAAACTGCAGTACTGTACTACAGTAAAAGTGAAGAAATTGGTAGTTTCACTCACGGGTGTGTCGGATTTGCGCAATGCTTATGGGGGTCCTACAAAATTTTAGTAAAGATTATGGGGTCCTGAGGTCGCGAAAAAAATCTCAATGATAAAAAGGGGTCACGACTGAAAAAAGTTTAAGCTCTGATCTAGAGGGTTAGAAACAAAAATGCTTCATTTTGAAAAGTGTTGCCGCTTGTTTTCAAATCATAGTGTTTGTTAATCAAAAATTTGTAAGTTTTACAAAATATGAAATAAAAACAGCATTGCCAGATATTAAACATATTATTGTTATAGAAGGTCATATTCGGATGTTGAAGAAAGCACGTGATTTCATGTGACGTCATTGTATGTCGAAAATGTTTCGTTAATGGCTTATAAATAAACAGCTGCTGTTGGCAGGATAACTGACGCGGTATGTTATTGCCACTTAATTCTTTTATGCATGTTAACAAAATCTTGATGCATTACATTACATTTAAATAACGACGTCATATGTATTGCTACTTATTTCGATATTTTTAGTAGAGTTTGTAATTAAAATTGTTTTATATTCCCGTGCAATGCAGCACGAGATTTATTTGAAGAGAAAGCTACGCCGGAAAAATTAAAATACAGGAGCACGCGCATTTAACATTTTAATAAATAGATGTCTCGCAAATGTACTCTTTTGTTATCCAGAGAAATCGAGAAAATACCAGAATGTTTTCGTGCAGAATTAAAAAGCTTACAAAAGCCGGAACGAAACATTTCAATTCAGTTATTTAATTATTTCTTGTTGATTGTAGCGATTTCGCTGTTAGATCGGATTAGCTTTCTTTGTTTTGAATTGTGTTCATTTAACGTTTTAGAAGTTTAAAATATAATTACTGTGAGGTATCGCGATGTTGTACGAATATTTCTGAGAAAGTTTTAGCATTTTGTTTTATTTCTTGGCATAAGAATAAATTTTATTAACTTTTTATCGACTTGTGCATTCAATCCATTACGAACCCGTACGCACGCAACAGCATTAACCTGAAGTGTCAGAAGTTTTTGTTTCCTGGTTGAGCAGTAAAATAAATTTTACGAATTATTGTTGCTTGGAATGTACGAACTGATTTCATTCATAAGCCCGCCTGTCTTATATTAAGAGATGCTAAGTCTTGTAAAACGGTTCCTCTTTCTTTACCACTTGCCGTCATGGTGAATTAGAAGCACGTCCGTTTTGCAATACAGAGACCCACGGTTCGAATCTTAGCCTATGGCATTACTGATTTTTTTAACTTACTTGTTTGAAAAATTGTAAATTGTTTCAACAAGTGGTGTACGAACTAAAATGTGGTGGAGGATAATTCGTCACCGTCTGATTTAGCAGCTGGATCCCTTCCTTCCCAGCCGCTTTTTAAGCTTAGGAATGCAAGGAATTTTCTCTTCCCTTACCATGTATATTCGTGTTGTAACTGGAAGCACGTACGGCTGGCAATCCGGAGATCCGTAGTTCGAATCCTAGCAATGGCATTGTTGAATTTTTTTATCTATTCTGTTTCAAAAATCCTAAATTCATTGAACAAGTGGTGCCCAAACAAAAGGATTGTGGTGGATAATTCCTCACCGTCTTTTCTTACCTGCGTGGTGTAACTCGAAGCACGTCCGGCTGGCAATCGAGAGGTTCGTAGTTTGAATCCCGGTGATGGCACTGCTGATTTTTCTTTTATCTATAAGAACCTAATGACTCCCTAAACTTGCTGATCAATTTTGATTCCATAAGAGATTTCTGTCTGATAAAAAATACATATAAAGTTGAAAATATTTAAATACTTTTGAGAAAAAATGTTAATTTATCATAATGTTTTCAAAGTATTGATTTATCACGATGTTTTCAAAATGTTAATTTATCATGATTTTTTCAAAGTGTTAATTTATCACGATGTTTTCAAAATGTTAATTTATCACGATGTTTTCAAAATGTTAATTTATCATGATGTTTTTAAAATGTTAAACTTAATTTTAAGTAGAGGAAAGTAGTTAGACCTGTTCATAGTGTAGAATAGCCTCCGTGTAAAACTTGAGACCCATGACCTCTTCATCCTCCCTTCCATAACGGAAAGTTAGCACCACAAGAGCGAATATTTTACATGATTCTATCCTCGAAGATTCAGCCGTTAAGAGGACGACGCCATCTATGGGTCTCACATTACCCCCTTCTTCGACAATGAGCTCTCTCCGGCTGAGATACACAGTCAACATCCCATTCGGACTTTGTTTCTTCAACACCCTGCGGAGAAAAATGACTCTTAGTTTCACAGAAATATCCAAACCGTTTCAAATGCATATAATATTAAAACAAAATGGTAGAAATATCCCGAAAAGAAGTTTCTTAATTCGTGAAAATAAAAACTTTAAAAAAAAAAATTCAGGTTTTAACGTTCGCACAAAAAGATTTGTTCAGGTTCTTACGCTCTTGCTGAGCTCGCAGTCTGCCAGTCAGCTCTTGCACTCTCCTGCTAACCCATTTTCTGTGTCCTTTTAGCTTTATTTTTAAGCAAAGTTATTTTCTCCCTTACGCCACATGCAGTTCAACAAAAACAGAAATTTTTAAAAGCTGCATAGCGGTATACATTTATAATTTCCGATGTAAGAATAAGTGATGGAATCTATTTTTATCCTTTTTCCAGGCTTTTCTGAGTTCATATCAATATTCAGTTTTCTCAGTAGATTTCTAAAGAATGCTTTTTGTTTTTTTATGCATTAACTTTATTTCTAAAATATCACTTTCTTTGCATTTAAGCCGTATAAAAATCAATTCAACAGTCAAAAATTGTCATGGAAATTGAAAAAATAATTCATGAGTTCCACAAAAATAATCACAAATTTCTTAAAGAGAATTGCCAAATTCAGTTCTCAAAAACAATCATAAATCTCATAAAATCTTTATAATAAAATAAATTTCTCATAAAAAGAAATGAAGGTAAAAACATTTGATTATGGTAACACAAATTAAGAAGAATTTTCACATTAATAATGTATACAATCATAAAAATCATAAAATATTTATAATAAAATAAATTTCTCATAAAAATAATTCATTGAACAAGGTAAAAACATTATGCTAACACAAATTAAGAAGAACCAGTTTTTCACATTAATAATGTATAATTCGGCATTTCGCCGTACAGCACGTTTTTCTCATTGAAACAGTAAATTAGATTTTGTTTTTAAAATATCAACCAAAAGCGATAGTTTACTTAAAACTCGTCTCCATTTAAAACAGGGAATCGCCGGAACGTCATGTGCTATTTAAAAAAATAGATGCTTGCAAATAACAATGTCTTAAAGCACAATTAAAAGATATTTTCATGTTCTGTGTTTAGCAGCGGCAAAAATAGAAAAAAAAATTGAAAAAAAGAGAAGAAAAAAAATCTGAAAACTCTCAGATTTTACATTGCGCCCAAAACAGAGTTTTTATTAACGTTTCGTGTGTTACCTTTATTTATTAAATATGATGTTTTTCACACTTAAACCGTAAAATTCGATTCAACAGCAGTATCACAAAGTAGTTTAAAAAGAGCGTATCTTTAGAATTTCCAATACATAGTAATAGTAACAATACACAGCTGCAGATAAAAATGTATTTTTTTTTTTTTTTTCTGTACTAAGTTGCGATTGCTCGCTTTGAAATCGTTGAGTTTGTTAATAAAAAATTCGTTAAAGTGTAACAAAATATGAAACAGATAATAAAGCAAATTCCAAGTACCAAATATGGGCATCCAGATACCCATATTCGAGTGAAGGACTACGTTATTCAAAATCTGATGTCTCTAGGTGCCGCTGTTTTTTCACAATGAGAGAAATATACATGCAGTCATGCAGCTGGCAATGAGTTCGAAAATGTTAAAATTTATATTTAAAAATATACTAAAAGGTTAGAATATATATTTAAATAATTCTCCTGTGCCAAACCCAGAAATTACTTTAACAAAATTTAATAAGTTAGAATTTATGTTTACAGAATTCTCGTGAGCTCGCTGCGAAAACTATAATAAAATTATTAAGTTATTTTAAAGATTTTAGTAATTAGAAATACATGCCCAGGAGTTATATTTATGAAAATATATGTGAAATATTTATGATATATGTACCATTTATATTTATGATATATATATCATTATTTAATTTCATTAAATATAATGCAGGGCTCTAATATTTGGTGGCAGCAATTTGAAAAGTGAAATGCTGTTTTATAGTGGACGACGCAAAAAGCCAAATTGCTCCTTTGGGCTAATAAATAATATTTGCTTCTTAAACAAAACTAACGAACACATCATTCGGATGAAGACTTCAGTTTCACTTTCAAATATAATTTCGTTAATGCATAACATTGTGTCTCATAGAAAGAAGGAGTCTTATACTAGGTATGGATTTTCCTGAAAAATAAGCTATTTTGAAAACATTCTCAATTTTCAAGAAAAAACATTGAAAATCTTATTCAGTCTTTTCAACACTTCAGTATCAAAGAAACGCCGTTCAAACAGATAGAGACAAATGTTTTTTATATCATCTACATGTATTATTTCAGAAGAAGATATCGAAGAATTCAAAGGGAAAAAAACAAAGGAACTATGTCTATTCTTTTCTTTTCATAACAATAGATGCCGCTACACAAATGAATATGCTTCCAGGTGTTATTCTTCAACCGGAACACAGCTTTAGCTTTTCCTGGCGTAGTACCCATTTTCACTATAATGTCATTATATTTAGAGATCACATTCTGTAAGTACATTGAGCTTTGCAGAAGAGAATGCGTAAATAAAGTTGTATGACAATACATCCAATATGATGCTGCTACCCTCAGTGGTCGCTAAGAATAGATTTTAAGCTGAGTTAATGTAGTCTTTATTTTGACTCGTAACTATTTACTCATTTGAGCGAATAACTGCCAGTTTTTTCTCTCTGTGCAGATAATTATCTCTGTATAGAAAATATAGATAAATATTTGCGCTGTTCTGTAAGAATGATGAAATGCTTTTCTGTTCACAAGAAATATTTATATTACGTATGTATTTAAAAGCTGTGACTTTACAAATGTTTGTAATTTAGTTAATAACTTGTAAGGCTTTTACGTTAATTAACCAGTTATTATGATTTTGAGCTGTACTTTGACTGTAGTGCACAATTACTATGATCATGAACTGTACTATAATTCCTCCTTTTCGTATTCCTCAGCAGAATGCAAATTAGCTATTAGAGTAAAGAATCTTACGCAGCAAGAGAGAGTCTTCTGGCAGTCGCTCTACGCTGTTAGAAATTTGCCAGTTCTTTCTAAAAGTGATTAGCTCGTCTTTTGCACTCTATCTTAGCCGAGACTTACTCGGCGGTAAAAATAGTTGCGCCGACTTGTATGTTTATGTTATTAAATGTAAAAATATAAAAATGTAAAAATGAAAAAAATTATGTTATTAAATTTGATTACGTTATCAACGCTTAAATTTGTTGGAACGTCATTGTTTAACTTTTTTAGGTTTACACAGGTTTTTGAATCTTCTCACGAAGATTTGTATTTAAACAGCATTTATTAGCTAAATTTAGAAAGCTAGCTAGTCTCAAGCTAGTCTCTGAACTCTACTACTCAGCTACTGAATTCAGCATACTCAAGATACTCTCCACGACAGACTGCTGCGTACAGGCACGGTGTTTACAGCTTTTGACCTGCCTTCGAGAACATTCTCGGGAGAACCGGCCAAAATTCGTTCTAGAATCATCTTGCTTTGTCTATGGCGTATGTCCAATTTTGTCGCCAAATGGGCGATTTTGCGTCAAATCTGGCAACCTTAAGCCTGTTTTGCGGGAAAGCTATCTTATCGCAGTTGGGCATTTTGAAACTGTATCATTTACTGTTACATTCTTGTTTCGATTATCCTAGCCATATGCGTAACAATTATTATAAAATTATACTAATGAGTTAGCGTGAAGCAGGCTGATAAGACTCAATAAATCCAATAATGGCATATTTAATATTATAATATGAATTCGTTGCTCATATTCTGATTCTGGAAGGCATAAACTGAAATTATATTTAGATAGGGAGGAATTTATTGTGTGCATATCTAATAATGCAGAAATATTAAATTTCCTAGGATTTAAGCAGTAGCTGCATCCATTTATGTAAACACATTAGTTTACATTAATCTTGAACACTGCTCCATTTATAATTATAATTTCTTTGTTATACTTATTAATTACTTTGTAATTAATAAGTATAACAAAGTATTAATTACTTTGTAATTAATAACTAACTTTGTAATTAAAGATTTACGTTTCCTCTTAGTTCCTTAAACTTTCTCCATATATCTTTAATTCAGTAAATAAAATAAAATAAAAAGTTGGCAATTCAATGTTTTGCCTTCAAAAACGTTTTTCTGTTAAATGCTTTCTTAAATCAGTGGTCTCAGATTGGATGCTTGCGGGCCAAATGTTACCCGCAAAGCAATTTTACCCGATCCGCTAATACATTTCTCATAAATAAATTAAAATTTTTATCATAATTTGAATAAAATGTTTAAGATTTTATTGATTTGATGTCCAACTTTACATTACTTTCTTTACCAAAAAGAACGTAAATAATGCCCCTGAAAATCTACAAATGAAACTACAAGGTATGCCTCACAGTGTAATTAATTTAAACTGTGATGCAAATCTTATTCAAAGATCTGATGGTATAAATTTGATTTACTTTTATTTGTACTTGTCAAAAGATAAATATCCTCAGTTACGAATTTTTGCAGTCAGAATAATCGCTTTGTTTGGGAGCACATTTACATGTGAACACTTTTTTCCAGACTTATCGGGATAATAGTTAGTGACTCTGTCTGCCATACCGAAGGGCTTGGGTTCGAATATCGGAGAAGGCATGAAAGTTTATAAATGTATAGTGCGGCATGGGGACACTCTAAATATGCGGTGAGTAAAAAGTCCTCTGGAGAGGTTAATGGTAGGAGAAGAGGTGTGGAAGATCCTTGGATCCGTCCCTTCGTGGTGTTCTCCATCAAAATTGGCGGGGGGGGGTGCGAACTGAGCAAAATCGTATTGTCACACCTGTATGCTGCTTAAGGCTTTTGCCGATGACAAGCACAATCTTGCAATCCTTGCCATGATGAATTTCGTGAACTTGTGCTGATGTTACTGTCTGACAAGCCACAACACGCAGTTCCTTTTTGAGTAGTTGAAAATTAATAAGAAAAGAACCATATTGCCGATCAATATCTATATTCATAATAA